AAGACTTGGAAGCAACCTAGGTGACCATCAAGGGATGAATGGATAAAAAAGATGTGGTATATATACACAATGGAATACTACTCAACCATAAAAAAAGATGAAATCTGGTCATTTGTGGCAATATTGATGGATGTTGAGGGTATTATGCTAAGTGAAATAAATCAGAGGGAGAAAGTCAAATATGGTATGATCTCACTCATAAGCAGAAGACGACAACAACAACAACAACAAACAATCACATAGAGACAGAGATTGGATTGGTGGTTACCAGAGGGGAAGTGGGGAGGGAGGAGGGTGAAAGGGATGAATAGGCACATGTGTGTGGTGATGGATTGTAATTAGTCTTTGGGTGGTGCACATCACGTAATCTACACAGAAATTGAAATATAGTGATGTACACCTGAAATTTATATAATATTATAAACAATGTTATTGCAATTTAAAAAAGAAAAAGTTTACTTTGGTGCCCTAAAACCAACATTACTCTGATAGGCTCTATACTGAGTATCTGAAGGGTAAAAGTAATTAAAATATACATTTGACTCATTATCGAGATAGCAGTGGTATCATAGAGAGACAATAGGTACATAGACAGAACATGTGAAATCAGATTTAAGCTCTGCAATTTACTGGCCATTCTTACTTTCTGCTTAATAAATCGTACATTTTTCTGAACTGTACTTTTAGATCTTAAAATGAAGATATGTTTCAGGGATGCCATGAGCACTGAATAAGATATACGTTAAAGAACTTTGACAATTATTAACCCTCAAATAAATGTAAAATATTTAAAATTATTCTTTTCTTTACTGAACAGAGGTTTCTCCTTGCTCTGGGATTCTCGAGTGGCCCTTCCCGACCCCTGAGGCTGACGGGAACTCACCGAGACCGGGGAGAGCTCAGCCTCAGGACTCACGAGCAGTACACTTCGGTCCACGGCGCGGAGGGCGCAGAGAGACTGAGGAGATGCTGTGACTCGCAGGTGGGCGTGTGAGGCCGGGAGAGTTTGTGTTGGGCTGAAGCTCAAATCCACCTGGGAGAAAGGGAAAATCATCAGGTTAGTAAGCTATCTGTTATTACAATCCTAAAGCCCTTCACATTTTTTGTCATTTGCATATTCAACTACATCTGTTTTTCTAAATTATGGTTGTCAGAGAGTTAGTCCTGAGGCTCTTTGCTCGTCTTTTTCTCACCCAGATTTATTTAGCAGTTAGTATACAGGCCAGTTATATGCTGAAGCAACAAATGAGCACCGGGAGCCATATATATTCTTGTTACTTACTTATTTTTAAGGACCAGTTATATATTTGCTCCAGGTGAAATGTCAGTCATTCTAATAATGTAATCTAATCTAATCTATAAATTTATCTCTCTCTCTCTCTCTACCTATCTATCATCTCTTTACCTATGCTTCCCGTTTCATTTCAGGGGAATGAAGTGAATGGCTCTGGACTGGGTTGTATTTTAAGGGCAGCACAACCCGATTGAAAGGCGCTGATAAAAGCAGCAGAGAGTGGAATGGTGGTTGCCTGGGGCTGGGGAGAGGGGAAAAGGATGTGTTGATCAAAGGGTACAAAGTTTCAGTTATACAAGATGAATAAGTCCTAGAGATCAACTGCACAGCATATAGCCTATAGCTAACAACACTGTATTGTATACTTAAAAATTTGCTAAGAGGATAGATCTTATGTTATGTTCTTATCACATACACAAAAAATAATAAATAAAGAAGGTGAGCCTCAAAAAAAAGTGCACTGAACCAAGAATTGGGAGACCTGGATCCTAGTTCTGGTCTTGCAATTAAATTATTTTGTGACGGCATTAGTTACTAAGTTGATATGACCTCAGTTTCTTCATCTCTAAAATAATCCATGTCCTTCCTAGCCTCATGTCTTTTTTTTTTTTTTTAATTTTAGGAAATAAATCACCTACCTTGTTGGGTAGACAATTTTCAACTTCATATTTTGCAGAGTCCCCAAACACTTCCCCATCAGGTAGAATGGCATAGATGAGCAATTGAGCGACGGGAGCGATGTCTGACTCCACAGGGACTGACACAGAAAAATGGCCTTTCACTGGAGCACAGAGAGAATGAGAGGAAGTGGTCATGGGCCAGGATAACTGACAGGAAAACCTGGACACCTAGGAATTTGGGGACCTGTATCTTCACATTGAAGACATTCTTACATCTGTCCATGGTTAATGGGCTGGGTGTTAACGGGTAATGTATGAAAAGAGTAGTGCAGGATATCTTCCACAAAGAAGCTTTACTGTTGAAAAGTTTATCCATGTTATTTATCCCTTCTGCTATTCATATAGTGATTTCCTATCTGCTTTAAAGCTTAGCAAGCCTAAATGTCATTAGCTAGAAGTTATTGTTTCTGTCAAGTAATGAAACTACCTTGATTGTCATTACATTTATAACTCAGATAGAAGGAGGGAAAATAAGAGATGATAATCTGGCAGTGATGGAACTCAGATGGAATTGGAAATTATAGACTAGTTTAGTGGAGCAATCAACACTTAGAAATACAAATGTACTTTTTTTTTTTTTTAGTAAATGTTTATTGCTGATTTAGTTGGTTTATTGACCTTGTGGCTTATTTTTTTAAAAACCTTTTGTGTGAATCAAATTTTCACAGTACTTTTATTTTTTTAGTGAAAATTGTGCAATATTAGAAGTCTCCCTTCTTGTTTTAGACCAACCTGAAGCTATATAATCTCCTAATGATGTATTTTATGATTTCTATTTAGCTTTTTAAAAGTAACTTATTTGAAACTTTTATTAATGAACTAAATGGTTGTTAAAATTGGGCAACCAAGGGTGTCAACAAATATGTTGTGAATTTACTATGTACCATGCCCTGTTCTAGGCAGTTGGTACATATCTGTAAAACAAAACCAACCAAACTCTCTGTCCATGTTCAGTTTATATTGTAGTGGAAAGAAAAAGGCAACAAATCAACAGAATAAGTAAGTAAATTATAGGTAGTATATTTACATGTGATAAGTCCTATGGAGAAAAATGTAGGGCAGGGTAAGGAGAAAAGGGCATTGGGAATACCAGGGTTGAGTGGTAAGTTACAATTTTAAATAGGGACATCCAGAATAGGCCTAGTTGAGGAAGTGACAATTGAGTCAAGCCTTGAAAGAGGTGACCAAACTAGCTATATGGGTACTTAGGGGAAAAGCATTCTTAGAGAGGAAATAGTAATAAGGCCGGAAGAAATATTTGATGACTTAAGAAGATGCTTATGTTTATTTGAATAAAATTCAGGGACACTTTTTAAATAAGCATGAACAAACAAGATACATAGGTCACTGACATGAAAGATCATGATAGACGCATATGCAGTGTGAGAATACCTAATCTGCATTAATTCCCCAATTTTTTATTCCCCTCTGAAATCTTTATATCTCAGTCTCCCATCTATTATACTTTATAGTTCTGTTCTTCCTAGTCATTTTTCTATCATTCAAAAATTGATGTGGCTAGAATGATCAAAGTTCAAGGTGGGTGGCTTCTAGATCTTATGGGGAAAAGAAATTGAAATAATATACTTTACCTTTTTGATGTTAATCTTAGTATGACTTCATGGATTATTCATTTTAGGTATATATAGGAATATTTTATATTTTCAGATATTCTAGCCCCAGGAATAGGTGTTTAATATTGTTGGTGATGTTCAGTTTGAGATGTTTGAGAATTTTCCTTCTTTGAGTTAATGATACTATAGCCTACATTAGGCAGTGGAACCTTGACCTATGGCTGTTGAGAATGTAATGGTGACACACAAGAAGCATCATAGCATCCCTATTTTGCTCAATTGTTGGGGGTCCATTGGTGAGTGTTTAGGGAGTACAGTCAGAGAGGTATTGGTAAATGGGGAACACTCACTTTTTCCTGGCTCCATGGGGAGAATATGGGTTCCAGTTCGGATAATGCTTCCTTTGGCCATGATCTTAAAATAAAAGATGTTTTCTCAGTTTATCACCACACTTATCATGAAGCTTGTCCCCCATTAACATATTTATCATTGAGACCCCGGTGGTGATATCCAGCCCAATGAAAAGACAAAGTGTTAAAAGAGGCGTGGTTAAGAAATGAAAGGATTTCGTATTTTTTGGCCTCATATACATCTTCTTTCTAATCTTCCACTCAAGAGTCAGTACTTACCAGGTAATAGAAGACGAGCTCCTTCAGCTCCCCCAAGACCTGCCCATTCAGAATATAATGTGCCTGAATTGTCTGAATTTGGCCACAGGGCAAGATACCAACCACAGGCTCAAGGTAGACATAGCTCTTGCTTAAGGAGAAAACGTGGTTAGCAGTGTGATATGCCTGTTTATGTTTTTCTGTCATGCAATAATAGTAGCTAAAACAGGGACTCTGTTCCTTGTGGTAAACCTGGAGAAACAAAAAGAAATGTTACTTTGTAGACAGCCTGTTACAAAGGACTTCTCTTCTAAGCTGCATAAGCTTGCTCTCCCACCTGACTGAATAGTTAAAAATTTTGCACTTCTTAGTAAAAATGGGGGACAGCTCCCTTATTGTTGATTAAATGAACTAATTGACAGTATCCCCAATTTTCAGAAGATTTTGAGGTAAGTATTTATACCTATGAATGGTAAAAAGTGAAGTGTATCTTTTGCATAGACTGTTTATCTAGACAGACCAGAACCAGAGGAACTAGGAAATCTCATTGAGGAGAATAATTGTGATAAATTGATAAGTTGATCTTCAGCAAGTAGATGTCTCTATCTAGTTGGGCTTATTAAGTTGTATAACTAATTTAATTGCACAGGTAAAGGTTACTGCTACTGTGATACTGTGGACTGATCTTGTGAGGTCTCTGCAAGCTCTATATCCTTGAGTTTTGCAGGAGTTATTTGAGGGGCAATTATGTCTATGTTCTCATGTAGTAGTTGCTCTTTAATACTTCAGGATTCATCTTTCCCTTTTACTAATCCCCTCAGAAGACTTTCTCCTAACTTTCACTCTACTTTGTTCATCCTTGATTATAACACTCACAGGTATTACAGTAATACTTAATGGAACTTTCTACCATCAATGATGTGAGCTCTATGAGAGTATGAACCATGATTATTCTTCTTACCAGGCACTAGCACAGTGCCCAGTACCCGCAAGTATGCAATGAACATTTGTGGGTTGAGAAAATGAATATCATATTTTGGGGGTAATGAATTTGAGAATACAAATGTCATCTATCCTTGATTAAATAAATAAAATACACTCTTTTACCCTTCTTTGTTTGAGGGTATCAACTTGAGAGATATAGAGCAGAACCAAAATAAAAGAAGATAATTATTTATTGGGAATATAATATTTAAAAGAATATCTTTATGGTATGGGCAGTTATTTCTCTAGTTTTTCCCATAGTACCTTTATTATTTATCAAGAACTTGTCACATTTCACCCTACAATAAGACAACTTGGAATATGAATTTCTTTTCCTTGAGCTAAGCACTGTTGGGTTGCAACTCTGCTACCAAGGCTTCTCCTTTGTTTTTAGGTCCTCACTTCCAAACTTACTATGACAGTGAGGGAGGAATCCGTAACATTAGTAGTGTCGATGGAGAAATGCACCTCTCCATGCTCATCGGTGGTACTGTTGGAGGAATAGTTAGCTTCATTTGCTTGGATGGAGATGAGTTCATTTGGGATAGGGACTCCTTTCCCATCCACCAGACGTACCTATAATAGAACAATGAATAAACTGTAGATTCAGGCTGATGATACCAGCCATAAGGAATACAAGAGCAAAACCCTTTTTTTGACATCATGTAAAGACGAAAAATTCCCCCAAGTTATGCCAACTCTGTTTTTTTTTCCAACTTGGGGCTTTTTGTCTCTCCCAAGTGTACATCATTGAAATTCTGTGTTTTTCTCTGTAAGAGCAGAGTCGTGTATGCTAACTATACTGGGAGTGATTTAATGTGTACACAGAATCAAAATTATATAATTCTAGGAACAAAAAGTAACTTAGACAATCATTTTCTCTCTCTTTTAATGATAAGCCATGCAAAAAACTCACTAGAGATTTCTGTTGGACTTGGACAAATTCATTAATCATTAATTACTAGTAACATCAAATGGTAACATTTTCTTAGTATTTGCATTTCCTATATTTAACATATATTTATCTATTACATAGAGAGTAAGGGTCATATCCTTAAAGCCATATAGGTGTATCATACTTTCCTGTGCTTCAAAAGAAAACCACTCACTCACCAATGCATTTATCATTTAAACTAACAGTGGCAGATGCGCTGAGATACTTATAAGAAAAACTAGTGAAAGAACTGATATTTATGTTAGTGATTAGAGATAATAAATAGTATATACAAAGAAGTGAAGGTTAGAGACAGTGTGGATTTATTTTGAACATTTAGCCCCTGTTATTTTGCAAGAGAAACAAAATAATGCTTTGGGGTTTATAGATTTCATGAGCATTATTTATAAGTAAAAAGATCTGGTTATATGTGGTTTTGTGATTTTGGTCTTATGGAGCAACTGATCATTTTTAACAAGGTATGATCTTGAGCAGAAAGATCTGTGTTGTTTGGGTGTCACAATACAATTTAACTATCTATGAAATATAAAGTACTCTACCTGCCCGAAGAATGGAATCCCTCGTCTAAAGCGTGAATCCACTTTCACAAATGTGAGTTTTGTTAGAGTTCTTGTGACTTCAATTGTCCCAGTTCCAGTTAATTCCAGCTCTGAGAAAGAGGTTAAAACAAAACCAAACCAAAACAGTACTTGTTGGAGAGGAACCACTTGCTTTCAAATTATTTTTCTGCTTCCTTCTCCCTATCCTCCCAATGATGAAGAGGCATCAACACTCACAGTTTTGTCTCCCATGTTCTACATTACCCACACACCTGTGCCTTCTTCTATAATCTTGGCGTTCACTTGAAGATTCATAGTTTGAAACCCCTTCTCCTTTAGTTGGAACACACTGGTGTTTACTTGTTGCATCATGCAGCCATGGCTGTCTAGCTGATAAGCAAGAAAAACAAAGATAAAAATAAACTGGCATGCTGGTCAGACCAATGGTCAATCCAAACCAATATGTAAGGCATTTTTTGGAGAGAACCAACTGCTTAGAGGTAGCATAGTACATTGGTTATGAGCATGGCATTCAGCTCTACCATTTATCTGCTGTGTGACATGATCTTGAGCAAGTTACATAGTGTCCCGATGTCTGTTTCTTGTCTATAAAATGGTGATAATAATAACACCTACTTCATAGGACTGATTCAAGGATTAAATAAATTAATAGATATAATATGCCAGAATGTTGGCTAGCATGCCATAAGTGCTCAATAACTGTTAGATATTATTTAAAAGAAACACCATTATTTCTCATTTATGACTAATAGTTTGTTGACAAGTTTAGTTGCAAATATCTGGAATTCTTCCATCTATCATGGTGGATCGTGGGACTTTCATCTTTTGGTATCTGGGCAGATTGTCCTCCCTCCAGATTGTCTTCTTCCTGTATTTGTATTTCACAATTATTCTCAGATGTCAACAAGCCTCTTTAAATGGTTTTCACTCACCTTCTTTTTGACTTCCTCACAGGCAACCTCTAAATTTCTGCCAAAGTGATAAAAGGAGTGACGATATTTTCGGCATATGCTCATGGTTACGTGTCCTGGGACAGGCTTCCCATAGGTATATCTGCCACAAGAGAAATTCCCAGAGACCAAGAGTTTTCCAAGGAGCAGAGACCCACCTTCTTCCTATCCATATTCCACACTATCAATCAGTTATAGCATACTTACTTTCTGTAGTTCCATAGTAACAACAAATACAATACTAGTTACTACTTACTATGGACCAAGCTCTCTTCCAAATGCTTTACATATATTAAGTAACTTAATCCTCTTAATAACCTCATAAGAGATATGATATTGCTTTCTCCATTTTGTAGTTCTGGAAAATGAGGCACATTGAGGTTAAGTAACTCATCAAGGCAGCTCAACTCGTAAGTGATGGAGCTGAGATTTGAACTCAGGCTGCTTAGCTATTAGCCACTATACTCTGCTGCCTCCAAGTCTTTACGGTGTATGGTTCATGTTAATTGGAAACACGGCTCAACAGACTGAGAAATATTTCCTAACAAACCCTCTCAATCTTTCCTCTTTTATCCTAACACTTCTCTTTTCCAATTTTCTTCTATTTATTCTACTCTAAATGTTTATTGTAATTTCTCACAACAAAATTGTCAATGTGTTTTACGGAAGAATCAGAAAATAGTGACAGTGAAAAAGAAAAAAAAAATCCTCACAATCACACTCAGCTAGAGACAGTCTTCCAAAATCCCCCAAGAACTCCTCAAAGACTGTTTTATACTTATGTTGTTATATTTATTTACTAAACTTGAATCACATAGTATATAATTTATTTATTATCATTCTGCTTTAGGAGAATTAACTTCTTTCCTCATTTACACATTTCTTTTGAATATGTGACAAAATAATTGATTTTATTTGTTCTGATTTATCTGAATTTTCTCTTCTAAGAAATAAATGTAGGTTATTGGATGCAAATAAATCTAAAAAAAGAATCTCATCACTGTTACTTTGAAAGAGTTTGGGAAGGGGCTCAGCGGAAGCCAAGTTTCCTGTATTTGATCCTTTGGCAGTTCAGTTTCTCATTCTACAAGTTACCTCTGCTATTGCTGTTTTAGATTTCCATAATTGCAGACTTTAATAGCAATTTCAAATCATTTAGTCCAATATTCTTGTGTTTTTTTGATAAGGAAATGCAAGTTCATTTAAAGTCATACTTAAAGTCAAAGTGCAAGGACTGTGAACTCTTAGTTCTGTGCTCTTTCTACCACACCTTGAGGGGTCAGCACAATGCCACATCTGGTCCTTGAATTTCTTTACTTGTCCTGTCAAGTGGATCTTATCAAGTGCTTTTATATCTCCAAAGGTAGAGAACTCAATGTCGCCTAACACAATTCATTCCATCGTTGGAAAAACTTTGAGGTTATTAGAATGAACCCAACTTGTTTCTTCATACCACCAAGTTATGCAATGGATATTTCAGTAATAATGGATGTAGAGCAATAATTATAATGAGGAAAAGAAAGAAGAAAAGAAAATAATGCCATGAAGAGAAGGTTCTAGAGAAGGGACGAGAGATGCCCCAGGTATTTATATAAATTTTTATGGTGTTTCAACAAGATGTCATCCGAAATATTCTCAGTATTTGAGAGTATTTTAAGGGTAGAAAAAGAAACAAAAATTAACTCACATTCCACATACTGACACATTCACTTCTTCATCCAGTACAGTGATTACCTTTGGAACCTTTACTTGCACTTCAAATTTGGGAAGCACTATCGAAGGAGATAAGAGAAATGTGGCAGATTGGCAAATTATTTTTGTGGTTGCCTAAATGACAAACCAGTGCTCTGAAGTGGTGACTTCGCTTCTAACTACTTTTAAAATCTTAAGAGAACACCCAATAGAGCTATAACATTGAGTGGTTATAGATTGTATTAGTCCCAGGGAATCACAGAAGCCTCCACTGAAATAAGAGAAAACTTCCAAGTTAGGGAAAATAACTTGCTTTTAAAAAATCCCAAAACTTTTATGAAGTTCTTTGTTCATAGATGATGGTCCTGGTTAGAATCAGATGAAGCCCAACCTCATCCATGGGAACTGAAAGTATCCAAATGGATTCACACTGTAGTAACCAAAAGCTTTTGATCCCCACTTTCCCTTTCCAATCTTCCAAAATCATACCAAATTCCTCCACGGTGAAGGAGTGCTCTGTCTTTCCTCCTGATTGTTTTAGTATTACTATCTTGTAGGAGCCCTTAATGGGCTCTGATGACAGGCTGAAGGACAATTGTTTAAGACCATTCTTTAACGTGATATTCTGCCATTGCATAATTCGATTCATTCCAGGGTCCTAGATATATGAAACAGGTTATGACATATCAAAGTAAATAAAGAATTAGGGTCAATAATACATTTAGGAAGACAGCTGTATTAACGATAGATCATTTGGGAGAGTTCTAGTATTTTTCTTTGGAAAGAGAGAAATAGAAGCAGAATGAGGTACAACATCCCAGTTCTCTGGATAATGGGAGGATTTCAGATACGCAAAGGCTTCTTTCAATCTCTAGTGTCTTTGGAATATTGTCACAACCTTCCAAACAGCAATTTCCTCTCAATTTACTGATTGCTTTCTGAATATGGAATGCTTTAAGTTGCTTACCTCAATGTGAACCAGTGGAAACTAAAAAAGAAACGGAAAAAAATATTAGCTCAGAATTTTTCCTAATACAGCAAACATAAATAGACTTAAAGGACTGAATATTACAATAAGCGTTTCAGCCAAGATTAAAGGAAATTAATATCACGTAACAAAGTGACTTGCAAGACAGATCACCAAACAGAAGTTTTAAGTAGAAGTTCAAGAACTTGGAGAACTCAACCATATACATCAATGATAAAAAGAGATGGGAGGGGCCGGCCTGGTGGCATAGTGGTTAAGTGCCGCGCGCTCTGCTGCGTTGGTCCGGGATTTGGGTCCCAGGTGTGCACTGACGCACTGCTTGTCAAGCCATGCTGTGGCCATGTCCCATACAAAGTGGAGGAAGATGAGCATGGATCTTAGCCCTGGGCCAGTCTTCCTCAGCGAAAAGAGGAGGATTGGCATTGGTTATTAGCTTAGGGCTTATCTTCCTCAAAAGAAAAAAAAAAAAGGAATGGGAGAATGGAGATTTGGGGAGGCTTTTTGAGTAAGATCTCTCTGACATGCTGTAAGACTCATCCCTAGCCATAAGAGTAGAGTGACTATGTAATTTATGTCCAAATCAGGAAATTTTTGAGAGTGAAAGAAGATACTAATTATAATTATTTTCAGACAACATTCATAAAACAAGACTGTCCTGGGTCAACCAGGATCTATTGTTACCCTATACAAAGTACCTACTTCTCATTTTGGGTCTAATAAGTGTAGCTTCAAAGGGGTCACTGTGAGCATTTGATATGTGCCTCCTGCATTTAATTGGAGAGTGAACTAGTGCCTAACTCATGACCTAGAAATATAAGGGCAAGAAATGGCTGACTAGCTACTCTGGCTGCAGAACAAAGGAAAGTTGCTACTGCCTTGGGATTGATTTGCACTTTCAGAGGTTTTGCAAACAAAGAACACAGAAGTGTCTCCCATTGACCAGATGAGGCTCACACAGGAGAGAGAGCCAGTAAAAGGGTCATTTTAGATTCTGTGTAATTGGGCTATCTACAGAAGGAAACACATCTTAGGTGAAGATAAGTTGGAAGTGGACATCTGGATTTCTGGAGGTTGGAGAGGGAGTAAGCAACCACTGGACTAGAGCACATTTGCCTGGTGTAAGGAACTGTTGGTGATATATTAATGATGAGGGTCTCTGAAGAGTTCACAAAAAGTACACCATGAGAATATGAGTTAGCTTTAAACATCTACCTGGCCCAAAGGATGCAAAACCATCTCAGGACAGTACAAGTCAAGACAATTCTTTTTTTGCTCTCCTTCTTCAATCCTAGCAAGGTTAGAAAGCCCAGATACGGAGAGGACAGGGTAGTCACTTAAAGCTGAGAAAGAAGGAGGATCAGTGAATCCCTCTGGCCTGGCTTCCCACCTGCACAACAGTCCAGCTGTGAAAAAGAGGGAGAATATATAGCTTCAACTTAAGTTTGGAGTTTAGATTGATATATGGGACTTGACATTCCAATTAATGAAGAATACTGTGATTTTTAAAAATAATTATCTGAGAACAACCAGAAAAGTCATGAGATTGTCAGAGTTTTCATCTAGAGGCAGGGATGAGTACATTTCAAAGAACTGTGAAAGTAAAGTTGTGTTCAGATTATATTCCTAGAATTATGATTTTTTCAATGTACCAGATAATTTATGATCAAGCAAGTTTGTACAGGACAGTTATTTGTTAGAGAATACAACAAAATTATAAATAAAAGTTTATAGAATATTGAGTTAATCTGCTTTAAGAAGCCAATGAATGTTAGGAATAGTACAAGAAATAAAGATTCCAACAATCACAAGTGTGTTTTGTTATTTCCTAAAACAGAATTTGCTAACATTAGTTGTTTGCAGCTATCTAGTTTACAACATGCTGATTCAATACTTTTACAAATCAGGAAATGGAGATTAACAGAGTTGTGTGTTCTTATGATTCAGCTTCAAATATCATATGGCTTCCAGAATTCTTAGGCAGCCCTTTTTTTTTCAAAGTGTAGTCAGAAGACCAGCGGTAGATTTGTGGGCCTAGCACAAAACGACTGCCCAGAATTTCTGAGTGTCGGGCAGGAAAGCTGCACATGTTAGTTCTAACTCTGAACTAAAGTTTGAGAAGAGTAATAATAATAATAGCTAACATCAATTGTGGTTTTGCTCTGTGCAAGATATCATTCAGGACTGTCACATTCCTTATTTTGTTTAATCTTCAGTACAATCAGATGAGTACTAATATTATCCCCATTTTATGGATAAGAGAACTGAGGCATTATCAGGCTAAGAAACTTGATCAAGAAAGCACAGATGGTGCCGGCCCTGTGGCTTAGCGGTTAAGTGCGCGCGCTCCGCTGCTGCCGGCCCGACTTCGGATCCCGCGCGCGCACCAACGCACTGCTTCTCTGGCCGTGCTGAGCCCGCGGCCCACATGCAGCAACTAGAAGGATGTGCAGCTATGACATACAACTATCTGCTGGGGCTTTGGGGGAAAAAATAAATAAATAAAATTAAAAACAAAACAAAACAAAACAAGAAAGCACAGATGGAGGTTGGTAGAGCTAAGATTCAAACCCAAGCTGTCTGATTCCAGAGCCCACATTTTTAATAGTAAATCTTACTAGCAAATACCAACTGGAATCCTAACACTAACAAAACTAAAAAACAAAGCAGAACAACTCACTAAATGTTTTCTTGTAAGCAACCTAGATCCAGGAGAACATCAAACAGAAGTGAAAAACTAATTAAAAATAATTATGAAATGCTTCAAATGTAGTGCTCAGAGGACAAAACATAGCCCTAAATATTCCTGTGAATAAATTAAAAAACATGGAAATAAAGTATGTGTTCAACATAAGAAGTAAGAAAAAACTAAACCAAAAAGAAGTATTTGACAGAAAGTAATAAAGATAATAAATCATTCTAAAAATGGATTCTTTTGGTGGAATAAAAAATAAACTATTAGCTAACTTACTCAAAAAAAAGGGGAAAGGGACAAATACAGAAATCTAGAAATAATAGGGAAATAAGATATGGAGAAATTTAAAACTAGTATAAGAGATGATTCTACTCATTCCTAGGCAAATAAATGTTTTCCTAGAAAAATATAAATCACCAAAATGGCCCCAGAGGGGCGAGAAATTACAAACATATCAATTAGTATAGAAGAAATAAAAATATTTTCAAGTAATTACACTCTAAATAGGACTAGTCTTAAAGAATTTCATCAGAAAAATATATCAAATTTTTAAAAAACTGATAATAGCAATGGTATAGAGAATAGTATAACTAGAAAAAAGCTAACATCATATTATTAGAACTCACAAGAAAGCCCTTAAAACAAATCTTCAGACCGACCTTATATAATTATGCATCACATAATGACTTTTCAGTAAACAACAGGCCATATATACAACTGTGGTCCCATAAGATTAGTACCATATAGCCCAGGTGTATAGTAGGCTATTCAATCTAGGTTTCTGTAAGTACACTCTATGATGTTCGCACAAAAATGAAATTGCCTAACGATGCATTTCTCAGAATGTATCCCCCTTTTTAAGTGACATATGACTGTATATAAAGAACAACGCAAATATCTTATATACGATAGTATTAACAGAATTCCCTAGAACACGTTGTGATTATGCAGCAGTTAATTATTCTGGGAATACAAAGACTGCCCTATATGAGGGCAAATATTCCTATAATTCACTGTAGTAATACCTACATGATGACAGAAGAATATGATTATCTCCATGGACATTGAAAAAGCATTTGATAACATTCAACAACCTTCCTTTCAAAAATTCTTTAAGAAAGAATTCAATACTTCTATACCATCTCCAAGAAAAAACATATTTCAACACAAAAGTCAGAAACAAGACAAGGACGATCTTTATTACTTATTTTATTCAACTTGGTCTACAGGTACTGACTAGCAAAATTAGGTATTAGAAATAAAATTTATAAAAGTTGTAAAGAAGGAGGTAAAATTACTATTACTACTATTTTTGCAGATGATATGGCGTTAGCCTGGAAAACCCAATAGAATCCACTGAAAAAGTATTTCAAATAATAAAATAATTTTGTAAAGGTAGTAGTTTTTGACCTCATTTTCCCACCCTGTTACTCCCTCATGGTGATGTTGTTTCTTTTATAACAAAATTCTGAGTTTCTTGTCATTCATTGTATCCAACATTTTCTTATTCTCTCTTGTTATCACTCCCATTAGGCTTTGAACTCAACCTCCTACTGAAAGTGCTCTAACTGAGATGACCAAATGACTTTCCCATTGCTGTATCTAAAAAGTTCACTTTCTCAGTTCTTATTTTACTTGACCTATCAGCAGCTCCTGGCACCATTGATTATTTTCTCCAGACTCCTCTTTCTGTTCCTTCTCAGTGTTCTTTGTTGAATTTTGTTCATCTTCCCAATCTCTAAATTTTTAGTCCTCAGGGCTCAGTACCTTTTTTCCTCCCTGCTCTTTTTAAATCCATTCTTTTGAGTATTTCATCCACTTTCATGTTTAAATATTGTCTCTTTGCTTATGCCCATTTCATATTTCTCTCTCCATTGCCCAGAAGACATATTTTTCTTCTTTTCAAAACAAACTCCCCAAATTTTAAATTTTAAAAAGATAAGTGTAGGGGCTGTCCCAGTGGCGTAGTGGTTAAGTTCGCACGCTCCGCTACGGTGGCCCGGGGTTTGCAGGTTCATAGCCTGGGTGCGGACCTAAGCACCGCTTATCAAGCCATGCTGTAGAAGGTGTCCCACATAAAATAGAGGAAGATGGGCATGGATGTTAACCCAGGGCCAATCTTCCTCAGCAAAAAGAGGAGGATTATCAACAGATGTTAGCTCAGGCTAATATTCCTCACAAAAAAAAAAAAATGAGTATAAATGGAAGAAATAGAAGAGATATCTGTTAATCGGATAAGGAGATTCTACAGAAAACCTATAGCAAACATCACACCTAACAGTGTAACTTTAGTAGAATTCCCATAAAAGTCATAAACATACTTCTACTCAACATCATTCTGCAGGTCCTGGACAATAAGACCAGAAAAGAAAACTGGCTTATAAAAAGTGTGAAAGAAAACACAAACTGTTCAGATTATGTTATTGTCCACATGGATAAACTGATGGAATCTACTGATAAATTAGTAGGGCTAATAACATATTCATCAAGATCAATGTGAAAAAAATAATGGGATACTAAGAAAAAATAATAATCACTTAGAAAATGAGAAGGATAAATTAGAAAAATAGATTCAGTAATCCATTAGTAATAAAAATTATACTGTCTTTCTAATTTGTTAAAGGATGCACTAGATCGTATAAACCATTCTTAATTTAAAAGGATCATACATATGATCAAGTGAGATTTATCCTTGGGATGCAAAGATGGTTAAACATACTCAAATCAATAAATGTGATACACTACATTAACAAAATGAGGGATAAAAATCATATGATCATCTCAGTAGATGCAGAAAAAGCATTCTCATCACACACAAAAGAAGGCAACTGTAGGAGCTGATAGATATGTTAATTAGTCTGATTGTGGTGATCAATTCACAAGTTTTGATATATCAAAAACATATATCAAATACATATACATATATCAAAACTTCACATTGTACACCTTAAGTATATACGTTGTTTATTAGCCAAAAATAAATTAATTAATAAAATGTTCATCAACAGTAAAATAGATAAATAACCTGTGGTTTGTTCATGCAATGAAGAACTGTATGGTAGTTAAAATGATTAAACTATACTAGAGAAACATATAACAGCTTGGATAAATTTGAAAAGCATAATATAAATGAAAAAGCAAGTTACAGAATGATATATACAGACATACTTCATTTTATTGTGCTTTGCTTTGTTGTGCTTCACAGATATTGTTTTTTACAGATTGAAGGTTTGTGGTAACCCTGCATCGAGCAAGTCTATAGGCATCATTTTCCCAACAGCATTGGCTCACTTCATGTCTCTGTGTCACATTTTGGTAATTTCGCAATATTTCAAATTTTTCATTATTACTATCTTTGTTATGGTGATCTGTGATCAGTGATCTTTGATGTTACTATTGTAATTGTCTTGGGGTGCCACAAACCATGCCCATGTAAGATGGCAAACTTAATTGATAAATGTTCTGTGTGCTCCAACTGTTCTACCAACTGTCCATTTCCCCATCTCTCTCCCTTTCCTCAGGCCTCCCGATTCCCTGAGACACAACAATATTGAAATTAGGCCAATTAATAACCCTACAATGGCCTCTAAGTGTTCAAGTGAGAGGAAGAGTCACACATCTCTTACTTTAAATCAAAAGCTAGAAATGATTAAGCTTAGCAAGGAAGGTGTCGAAAGCCAAGACAGGCCAAAAGTTAGGCCTATTGCACCAAACAGTTAGAAAAGTTGTGAATGCAAAGGAAGTCTTTGAAGGAAATTAAAAATGCTACTCCAGTGAACACATGAATAGTAATAAAGTGAAACAGTCTTATTGCTGATATGGACAAAGTTTTAGTGGTCTGGATAGCAGATCAAACCAGCCACAGCATTCCCTTAAGACAAAGCCTAGTCCAGAGCAAGTCCTTAACTCTCTTCAATTCTATGAAGGCTGAGGGAGGTGAGGAAGCTGCAGAAAAAAAGTTTGAAGCTAGCAGAGGTTGGTTGATGAGGCTTTAGGAAAGAAGCCATCCCCATAACATAAAAGTGCAGGGTGAAGCAGCAAGTGCTGATGTAGAAGCTGCAGCAAGTTATCTAGAGGATCTAGCTAAGATAATTCATGAAGGTGGCGACATTAAACAACAGATTTCCAATGTAGAAGAAGCAGCCTCATTTTGGAAGAAGATGCCATCTAGACTTTCATAGAGAGGAGAAGTCAATGCCTGGCTCCAAAGCTTCAAAGGACAGGCTGACTCTCTTGTTAGGGGCTAATGCAGCTGAAGGCTTTAAATTGGAGCCAATACTCATCTACCATTCAGAAAATCCTAGGGCCCTTAAGAATTATGCTAAATCTACTCGGCCTGTGCTCTATAAATGGAACAACAAAGCCTGGATGACAGCACATCTGTTTACAACGTGGTTTACTGAATATTTTAAGCCCACTGTTGAGAGCTACTGCTCAGAAAAAAAGATTCCTTTCAAAATATTACTGCTCATTGACAATGCAACTGATCACCCAAGAGCTCTGATGGAGATGTACAGTGAGATTAATGTTGTTTTCATGCCTGCTAACATAACATTCATTCTATAGCCCATGGATCAAGGAGTAATTTTGATCAAGCCTTATTATTTAAGAAATACATTTCACAGGGCTATAGCGGCCATAGATAGTGATTCTTCTGATGAATCTGGGCAAAGTCAATTGAAAACCTTCTGGGAAGGATTCACCATTCTAGATGCCATTAAGAGCATTCTTGATTCATGGGAAGAGGTCAAAATATCAACATTAACAAGAGTTTGGAAGAAGCTGATTCCGACTCTCACAGATGCTTTGAGAGGTTCAAGACTTCAGTGGAGGAAGTAACTGCAGATGTGGAAACAGCAAGAGAACTAGAATTAGATGTGGAGCCTGAAGTTGTGACTGACTTGCTGCAATCTCATGATAAAACTTGAATGGATGAGAAGTTGCTTCTTATGGATGAGCAAAGAAAGTGGTTTCTTGAGATGAAATCTACTCCTGCTGAAGATACTGTGAAGATTATTGAAATGACAACAAAGATTTAGAATATTACATAAACTTAGCTGATAAAGCAGCAGCAGGGTTTGAGAGAATTGACTCCAATTCTGAAAGAAGTTCTACTGTGGGTAGATGCTGTCAAGCAACACTGCATGCTACAGAGAAATCGTTAATGAAAGGAAGAATCAATTGATGTGGCAAACTCGATTGTTGTCATTGCCACAGCCACTCCAACCTTCAGCAACCACTGCACTGATCAGTCAGCAGCCGTCAACATCAAGGCAAGACCCTCCACCAGCAAAAAGATTAGACTTGCTGAAGGCTTAGATGATGGTTAGTGTTTTTTAGCAATAAAGTATTTTTTAATTAAGGTCCGTGCATTGTTTTTTAGACATAATGCTGTTGCACACGTAATAGACTACAGTATAGTGTAAACATAACTTTTATATGCACTGGGAAACCAAAAAATTCACATGACTTGCTTTATTGAGATACTCACTTTATTTTGGTGGTCTGGAACCAAACTTGCAATATTTATGAGATATGCCTGTACTTTATTACCATTTATAAAAATTTGAAAAAAGTATGCAGAACAATACCATAATAGTTTAAGGATGCCAATCTCTGTCTCTGTCTCTCTGTTTCTTTCTCTTTATATATGTATATACATATATATGTATACCTATGTATACATATATAAATATACACATATACTATGTATATACGCACTGTATGTATGTAGCATTTAGTAAAATAAAAAACATGTACAGCAATTATAAATACCAAATTCAGGATAGTGGCCATCTATGATGAGGAAGGGAGGAGTAATATGATAAAGGAAGGGTACACAGGGGAGTTTCACATTTTTCTTTAATGTCTTACTTCTATAAAAATGATGCGAATATGCGAAAATGTTAACATTAAATTAATCACAATTTTGGGTATAGATACTTGTGAAATTATTCTCAATACCTGTCTGTGTGCTTTAAATATATCACAGCATCAAAAAAGTGCAGAGATCGGAAGTAACGGGTGGAGACAGTGTGTGTAGTAAATTCTTTCATAGAGGTTGGTTATGAAGGGGAACAGAGAAATGGAGTGGTATTTGGAAAGGGGTGTGATGTCTAGGGAACTTTTTATATTTAACTTTTTTTTTTTAATAAGGTGCTAGTAGCAAAGTGTGGAGCCTGTTACGAACTACCCCACAGAGGGAGATACAATGATGGAGGAGAAGAAGAGAACAATTGGGAGCTCTTGAGAAAGTAAGAGAGGATGGGCTGAGAAGCACAGCTAGAGGAGTTGGCTTTGAATTGGAACAGGGATAGTTCTTTCATTGTAACAGAGGTAGAGACAAAGAATACAGGTAAAGATGAAGAACAGTTAGTACAGTGGGGATTTACTGTTTTTTTTCTTGATGATGTTTGAGGTGAAGTTGACTAAAGTGGTAGGGTAAGGATTGTGCTAGGTTTGATGAGACAGGGGCATAAAAAATTACCTCGATGAATTGGAACCTAGTGGTTTCCCTCAGTTTCTGGGATCCATGTAAGTCTTTTGGATTATTTTGCACCACAAGGGAAGAGGAGGCATTTTCCAAAATGTCAAAAAGTGAATTTTCCATAAGGACTCTCTCTTGAGTTTAATTTGATTGAAAGAAATGTGACACTGATTGCATACTTGAGTCTGTGGTGTAAGATTCAGACCAATGACACATCTCTTGAATAAGATATTTGTCTTGAGGGAGAGACAACTAGTCCAATACAGTTTTATAGAAGTCTAAGCGGAACTTTAAAGCAGTGGAGGCGTAGAGGAGGTGTAAAGCTTTTGAGGATTTATGTGATTAAATGGTATTAAGGGCCAAACTGTCTATTTTACCTGTGTATGTCCCCCCTATGCTTAATACCTATCCTTCTAAACAATAAATGTAGTAGACTGATATCTAGTTGACTGAGAAGTGCAGAAGAAGAAAAATTCATTCTCTTTCCCTTTTGGTAACACCATTCGTGAAAACCTGCTTTTCTGGTTGGGTTAACTGTTTTCTGCTACTATTGATTTCAGGTTTGCTGAAGCAAAAATCCCTTATAGTCTTCTTCTTGCTCTCCATTGCCACTGACTGTCTCCCAAACCACTGATATACACACATACAAAAGACTCACCAACTCATTCAGTGGGTGAAAAGTTTTATCCACAGAGACAATTCGAAACTTAACTGAAAAAGAGAAATTTTCCTAGTGAGACCATTTGGGTAACATACTGAGGAAGACATCTCATTTCTGGAATTACCCCACCATAGAGTTTCATACCTGACTGTCCTGGTGTGTAGATTTTTTTGTCTGTCTGAATAAAGACAAGACTTTCTGTCTTCTTCACCAGCACTGTAGTCCTTTTCCTGAATTCATGCGTTGGTCCTTTTATCTGGACAGAGAGGAATACTTCATCCTCAGAAGAAGAGGATCTTGGGAGCTAAGAACAAAAAAGATCATAAGAGCCTTCACAACCTCTCCCTGGAGGCCTTAGTATTTATTTCTTTCCTGTTTTCCTTCAGAATCACAGGAAGGTAAGTAGGGGGCATTAATTATTACTTAAACATGAAGTGGAGGAGAATAATTATGAAAGAAGTGTAACAAATGAAACCCAAATTTCCATGTGACTCAACAGTAGTAATTAAAACATAGTCAACTTTATGGAGTAAATATTATAATCTTACTTAAAAAGTAGATCCACCTCTGAAAATTATGGGAAAGGAAAAAATTAATATTCTAATAATGGTAGGAGTTATGTCTTTTTTTTTTGTGAGGAAGATCAACCTTGAGCTAACATCTGCGAATCCTCCTTTTTTGCTGAGGAAGATTGGCCCTAGGCTAACATCCGTGCCCATCTTCCTCTACTTTACATGGAACGCCGCCACAGCATGACTTGACAAGTGGTGCATCGGTGCATGCCCAGGATCCGAACCCGGGCTGTCACAGCAGAGCACCTGTACTTAACTGCTACAGCGTCAGGCCAGCCCAGTGGGAGTTATGTCTTGAGAATGGGTTGTCCCAAGAAGAAACTGGAAATTTCCTCAGGGTGTCAAATATATGTAGAAGGTGGGGGTCCTCATGAGTTCTGGTATTATTTTAAAGTTTTCACCTTACTATTAGAAACACCCCAAAGTATCTAACTTATTCTTTGTCTGGCTAGTAGGATTTTTGTGGGAATTAAACAGAAAATTAGCATGTCTATAAGTATTGCCTCTCTCCCATTCTGGTATGGGAAATCTATATTTTGTTCCTTTGCTGGGGTAAACTTTCTAGGTCTCTCTTTGAAGTCATTGATATCCTTCTAAATTAATTCCCTGATACAGAAAACCAATCTCCGACCATAAGAATTACATTAAAGAAAAGAAAGAAAGAAAAAAAAACAAAACAGAGATAGGTAGCTGTACTCACAGTGAAGGAGACACAGTGGAATAAGTCCTTGTCAGCTATGAGGTCATTGAAGAGGCTCCTTTTCCCCTTGGTAGACTCCAAGGAAGCACTTACAGTCACTGTCTCATTCAGGCATCTCAGAAGGAGACAGCTTTTCTCGGGAGTCTCAACATGGAATGAGGAGGGGACCAGCACCATATACTGCCTGGAAAGGAAGGTGTTTAGGTCAGTGGAAGACATATTATCATCCATGATTGTGGTTTCATTGCAATAATTATTGGCATTCTTAGTTCTACACTCAGAGAAAGCAGGTTGACAACATATTATGGCCAAATGGCAAGAAAATTGTTGTCTCTCGTCATTGGTAAGGGTAATATTTCAGTCTATGCGGTGATATCCCACTCAAGGTGACTTCTAAAGATGTGATAATTTTATGTGCTTATCTCACTAAACTCTCAACACTCAAATTCCTGAACTTACTTTTTTAAAGGAAAAAATGGGAGGAATAATTATTTACTACATAAAAATATAGAGTTAAGATTATTCTCAACAAGTCTGGGAGAGAAGTCAAGATGGTGGCGTAAGCAGATTCTGAACTCACCTCCTCCCATGGACACAGCCAATTTACAACTACTTGTGGAAAAATTACCCCTGAGACAGAACTGAAAACTGGATAAGAGGAACTCCTGCAACAACGGACAATCCTAACTGAGGTAGAAGAGGCAGAAACTCCCTTCTGCAGAGGAAAAACGCCACCTTCACAAGCCGCAGCGCCTCACGGCTGCCAGGGAGCAGCGCACAGGTCCGCAGCCTCCCTGGAGGAGCGGGGCCCTGAGCCAGGGAGCGCCCCCGCTGTGGGCATTTTGTGGACCCAGCACAATTGAGA